ATCCAACCTCAATCTTCCCTCCCTCCACTTGGATCCATTTCCCCTCGTCCTGCTGTTGTCAGCCCTTCTGAAGAGTTGACTCCCCTCCTGGCTGTAGGTTCCCTTCAGGTATTGATAGGCTGCACTGAGGTCACCCCGCAGCTTCTCTTCTCCAGGCTGAACGAGCCCAACTCCCTCAGCCTGTCCTCATAGGGGAGGTGCTCCAGCCCCCTGCTCATCTCAGTCGCCCTCCTCTGGACCCTTTCCAACATCTCAATGTCTTTCTTGTACTGAGGGCTCCACACCTGGGCACAGGACTCCAGATGGGGCCTCACAAGAGCCGAGTAGAGAGGGACGATCACCTCCCTGTCCCTGCTGACCACCCCTCTCCTGATGGAGACTCTTGTGGCCAAGCTCTGCTCTCAGAGCTGGGAGGGAGGCGGGTTGCTCTCCGCTGGGAAAGTCAGAGAAGAGAACCAAGGGTCTGGGGGCCCCGACACAGGAGTGCTTTCCACCAGCGGTGGCCCGAGGAGGAGCACAGCAGGAGCGACGGCCCAAAGGATACCGGATGCACTCTGTGGAATTCCCAGCCACCATCAGCTGCCGGTCCCAGGCCAGCACCACGGCGCGCTGCCGGCTGCGGGGACGCGTGCACCTGCAGGGAGCCCCAGCACGGTCAGGGAGAGCCCACCCAGCCCCACAGCTGGAGCGGGGACCTGAGGGACGACCCATAGCGCAGCCGTGGAGCTGAACGGGGCCTGCAAAGGGCCGAGCACACGGAGGTGTGCAGTGAAGGCACGGCCCAAAGCAGAGGGGGGGAAGGTCAGGAAGATGCTCACCAAACCATCTGCTTGGGTGCAGAGCGGATGGCACTGTTGAACTCGCAGAGCTTGTCCTGCAGAAGGAAAGAGAAGAGTCAAGGAGGAGCCGTGCATCGAGGAGGCAACAAGCTGCACAGGCATCCTGCAAAAGCACCTGGCCACTTCTGCAGCCCCAGAGGGAGCCAGCGCCGTGGCTGCTGCAGACAAAGGTCGAGGATGTTGTGCAGTAGACTGAGCATGAGAAACTTTCATAATCCCAGAACGGCCTGGGTTGCACAGGAGCACAGCGCTCATCCAGCTCCAAACCCCTGCTGTGTGCAGGTCAACCAGCAGCCCAGGCTGCCCAGAGCCACATCCAGCCTGGCCTTGAATGCCTGCAGGGCTGGGGCATCCACAGCCTCCTTGGGCAGCCTGTGCCAGTGCCTCACCACCCTGTGCAAAAACCCTCCTAACATCCAACCTAAACCTCCCCTGTTTCCCCCTTGTTCGATCGCTATCAACCCATGCAAACAGTCATTGTAAACTTTCAGCCACTGCTCTGGCAAGCAGCCCACCTGTACATAAAGCAAGTTGCTTGTGCTCAACTGAGACCAAAAAAAATGAACAAAGTCCAAAGAACATTGATTTGCTTCAAAGAGTACGGAAGGCAACCAAGCACATCACCAGTGTGAACCAGAATGGACCACTTGTACGTGACTGGCCACGCCAGCTACAGTAATATGGCTGAGCCTGCTACAAAACAATACCAGAACCACCAAGTTCAGGCATGGATGCAACAGAATCTGGTGTGGAAAGAGTAATTAGGAGCAGCCTGTTTATTTGGGAGGTATTTGGACATAGAACAGAAGACACAAGGCCAGTAAATCGTGGATTGGAAAAGGAAAAAGTGAGGAGTATTGTATAAAACTGGGTGCAAAAAGAGTGGGTTCTGTGATGGCAGAGCACAGGTGCCTGTGAACAGCAGCAAGATGGGGCTGCAGCGTCCACAGGCAAGTAAGGAGAAACTGCTGGGATGCCATCAGGTCTGGCTGCGAGAGGCAGTGGGGGAGCACAGAGCAGGGCGGGCTCCACCGACACCAAGAGGCGGGGAGGGAAAGGAAGCTCACCTTCAGCGTGGCCAACCCCATCCACAGGTAGCCAGTGTCAGTGAAGAGCGCCAGGCAGCGGTAGTTGAAGGACACGGCCATCTGCAGGTAGGCCCCCGCGGAGGGGCTCATGCCAGGGGGTGTCTGGGATGAGGAAAAGGACGGGGATGGTCAGGGACGCAGCACGAAGGGGTGAGAGCTGCACAGAGCGTTCCCTGCCCTGCTGCGTCTGCCTCATCTCCATGGCTTTGTCCTCAACCAGGCTGTGGGGAAAGGAGCCGCCAGGAAGCCCTGCGAGCTGCAGATCGCCCCGCTCCCCACTGATGCTGCCGTGGGCTTCACTCACCACCACAGAGCAGGAGGTGTTGTCCAGCAGGTACAGGTCCTGGCCGACCGCCAGCAGGACGACGGTCACTCTGTCCTGGGTCAGCACAGCCCAGCAGGAGGGTGGCTTCTGCAGACCTGCAAGGACCAACGTCAGGGACCCCGTGCCGGGCAGAGCGAGGAGCAGCGGGGCAGGAGACGCACCCGGCACCTCGGGCATCCGGCGCAGCTTCAGGTCGTCGATGTTGGTGGTCAAGGAGAAGCGGTGCGCTCCAGTGAGGATGGCCACGCCGGTGCCGTACTCCGTGTGGAAGACCTTCGCCTCCAGCACGTGGTTCTGCAGCACCTCCTGTGCCATGGGGAAGAAGGGCCCAGGTTGGGGCACCAGGGCACGGCACCACGCTGCTGGGAGAGAGGCACCGGGGCTCTGGGGGCAAAACTGTCCCAGGGAGGACGGCCCAGCCCTGCGCCGTGCAGCCAGCAGCATCCCAGCAGATAAAGGTCGTGCGCCCAGCTCACACCCAAAGGAAGAGCTCTGCAGCGAGGCTGAGGGAGCTCTCAGCCCTACTGGGTTGGCATCATTCAGGGAGGCCTTGCAGCACTTCTCCAACACACAGATCCAACTTTGTGGACCTCACGGTGACGAGCTCCCAGCCCTTCTTTCCCCGCCCCACTCACGTTGCCCATGCTGAAGTGACGCTTGAACTCGCAGAAGAGGTTGTAGATGAGAACAGTGCCATCCTCCTGGATGCACAGCAGGTCCTCGCTGGCTGTCCAGCCCAGCTGCACCAGCCGGCCACTCTTCCACTGCAAGCAGGAAACTGATCAGTGTCTGCTGCTCACCTCCCAGCTGCCAAGCAGCCCCTCCAGGAGATGCAAACGATGCCAGTGGCTGCAGTTTCAGCATTTGCAGTTCTGGTGGCCCTGACTGCAGCCCCCTGCAGGCACAACAGCTTACCCCTCCTGTATCTTCCCCAGCTCTACACAGTGGGTAAGGGAGGACACTCCCACTGTTCCAGCGCTGCTTTCCCCATCCCCACCCCATGCTCTTCTTCCCAGTCTGGGTGCTTTCCCTCTCCCTGCCGACTCCCAGCACCCTTGCAACGCAGCACTGCTTTTGAGCAGCTGCCGAACCGAAGCTTTCAGGGGCTGCAAGAACTGCACAGTGGTGACTCCTGAAAGCTGGGGGTGCTGAGGATGCGTGGCAGCGCTGTGCTTCCCTGCAGGCAGCCCAGAGGAGCTGCCCCAGGGCACACAGGCGAGTGGCACAGGATGAGGCGGCAGCCGGTCTCACAGCCCAGCCACGAACCTGCAGCACCAGGAGGAAACTCTGGGCACACAGAGCTCCACAGCCACCCCCCCGCCCAGGGCTCAGTGCCACCAGGGGCGCAGCTCAGCGTCCTCCAAGTGCCGCGGCCAGGGCAGGGCCATCTCGAGGAACATCACGCACCTCTCGGAAGGGCACGGGGCACAGCCTTGGGGACAGGGTGGCAGCAGACCCAGCACAGCCGGATTCAGGCACTCACCGGGACGCTGGCCAGGAGCAGCCCCGAGGCCGAGTAGATCTCCAGCAGCGGGCGGGCGCTGGGGGATTTCTCCTTCCTGGCGTTGTTCTTCAGCAGAGCTGCGGTTGGGACGGGGGGGGCCCTGAGCCGGCTGCGGCCCCCCGGCCATTGTTAGGCGCACCGTCCCGCCTGGCCCCGCGGGGTCCCGGCCCTACCTATGGGCCCGCCGTACGGGGCAGCTGCCACCAAGCAGTCCCGCAGCTCCTCCTTCAGGCCCCACTCCATGGCGTACAGCTCGAACTTGCTGCGGGCAGGTGAGTGGACAGACGAACAGACACACGGACAGTGCAGAGCAATAAGGGGGGTGCTAGGGCCCGCAGCCCGGCCAGAGCCCGGAGCCCTGAACAAATCCCAGCCCCGCACCGGGCCCCGGGACCCCCCACGCCCAGGCCCCAGACCTGCCTCACAAGGCCCAGATCCCCCCCACGAGGCCCAGCCCCCCCTCACCGGTAGAAGGCCTCTTCGCCCAGCGGGTTCCAGTTGGCCGTGTAGCAGTCCATGGTGCCGGCCGGGGCCGAACCCTCCCGGCGGCTCCGCTCAGCTCGGCTCGCCTGGGTTCAGTTCAGCTGCGCTTCCGCCCTCTCCGTGACGACCGACGCTACGGCGGCCGCCATCTTGAGTGAGGGCAGGACCAGAGGGAAAAGGAAACGCCGCCATTTTGAGTGAGGGCAGGACCAGAGGGAAAAGGAAACGCCGCCATTTTGAGTGAGGGCAGGACCAGAGGGAAGGGGAAACGCCGCCATCTTGAGTGAGGGCAGGACCAGAGGGAAGGGGAAACGCCGCCATCTTGAGTAAGGCCGCCGCCGCCGCCATCCCAGCGCAGGCTCCGTCCCCTGCTGTCCCCAGCCCGTGTCCTGCAGTCGGTGTCACCCAACCACCAGCTCACACACCCCGTCCCCACTCACACCCCTGTACACGGAGCTCAGTGGGTATCCTATGTTCTGGGACAGCAGTGTTCCTGCCACCCACAGGCCCTGCCCTGCAGCTCCACACTGACACGGCACAGCGCTGCTGGTGGGGGCACAGCGTGAGGCCCAGCAGACCCCAAAAGCACCGACTGTGGGCAGCCATGGGGCAGTGATGCCATGCTGGGCAGGGCAGGCCCTGGGGATGGACAGAGCAGCACAGGGCTGTGCTGGGCCGAGCTCACGGTGAGGGGCCTCGTGGAGGCACGGTGCTGCACACAGGAACGGCCACATGGCATCCACAACACGCTCATCACACCCTTCCCACAGTCTCTCTTTATTTCTCAGTGCTACAGGAACAGGGAAGGCCCTATGGGCGGCCGGGCAGCTCGAGGCGGTAATGGAAGATCTGGAAGGAGACCAGGCTGGCAAGCAGCGAGGGGCTGCTGGCACCCACCTTCCTGAAGCCCTGCTTCTCGTACAGCCGCTGGGCCACCACCTGCACTATGGAGGTGTACAGCATCACAGCTCTGTAGCCCCGCGCCTGGGCGAAGCGCAGCACCTCCCCGCACAGCGCCTTGGAGATGCCGTGGCCGCGGTGATTCTTGCTGACCGACATCCGCTTCAGCTCCAGGGCCTCCCCGCGCTGAGCCGGGTCCTGCGGCGGGGCCACAGCCACCATTCCCACCACCGCCCCGTCGGCCTCCACCACCCAGAAGCAGGAGTCGGGTGCCCGCATGTAGCTGCTGTCGATGTCGCACAGATCAGTGATCAGCGCCTCCTGCACGTAGGACGTGCTGAAGGAACGCATCATGGGCCAGGTGGCCGCCAGCACCAGCGCCACGGCTGCCAGTGCCAGCAGCCAGCTGCCAGCTGCGGCACGCACGGCCGTGAACAGGGCCAGCAGCCCCAGCTGCACCCGCGTGGAGCGCAGCATGTGCCTGTAGATGGCCGGCGCGTGCTCGATGATGCCATGGGCAAACAGGGAGCGCACGGCAGCGTAGTCCTCGTCGCGGTACAGCCGGATGCGGTACGGAGCCATGGGCACTGGGGCCTGCAAGTCAGAAGCAGAGAATGGTTGGGGTTGGAGGGAACCTTCGTAGAGTGGCATTGTGGTTAGAGCTGGAAGGGACCTTCAGAGAAGCCAAAGGATGGTTCAACCCCCTCCCAAAGAACAGGGCCACCCGCAGCGCCATCAGGCGCTCAGAGCCACTCCAGCCTGACCTGAATGTCACCAAGGATGGGGCACCCAACACCTCTCTGGGCGATCTGTGCCTCACCCCGAGCACTTGGAGCAGCCAAGTGAGATCAAGGCTGCAGCTGTAGCTGTGCCAGGGGGTCCCTGGGCAGGAAGGAGGAGCAGCGGGCAGGGGGCTGCAGGTCTCCCTTCCGGGGGGGCTCTGGAGAAGCTCCCCCTGCCATCCCCTGGTCGGGACACAGGAGGAGGCAGCAGGGCCCGAGGTGCCCAAAGTGCACCTGCAGTGTGGGACGAGGGGGGGCAGCGCTGCCCAGACAGGAGCCGGCGGTGACGGCGGGGGCAAAGGGGCACGGGGAGGGAAGCGGGCACCGAAGGATTGCAGCGGGGGCAAAGGGGCACGGGAGAGGCAGCACGCGCTGCAAGCAACGAGGAACTGCTGGGCTTTGTGCCCGCGCTCGCGGGGGGGCCGAGCCGCTTCAGCGCCTGGCATTCAGAGCCCGTGCCGAGGTCGGGAGCCGCGGACGGGGCCGAGCCCGGGGATGCCGCAGCCCCGGGGCCCAGCGCTGCCCTACCGGAGACCCCGCAGACGGACCCGGGCTTCCCTCAGCTCGGCCGCCCCCCGGTGCGCCCCGCACGGCGTGTGCGTGGCTCCGCGCAGCCCGAGCGCCGTCCCGCACCGCCCCCCCGCTTTCCTTTCCCTTCCCCCTTCCAGCAGCCGCTCCGACGCCGGATCCCGCACGCTCCGTCCCGCTCCCTTCTTGCCGAGAGCGGCGGCGCGGTCCTTACCGGTGCGCAGGGCCGGGCAGCGGCGGGCGGGCAGCGGCGGTCCCACAGCACCGAGCCGGGCCCGCAGCCCCGCGAGCAGCCGGGATCCCGCAGCGCCCCCGTGGGGACCGGGGTCGAGCGCAGCGCGGCGAGCGATGCTCGGGCGGCGGGGGGAGTTCGGCCCACGGGGAGCTGCGAGCCCCGCACCCCACGTCCGTCCCCCGGAGGCTTTGCCCAGCTGCGGGAGTGCTGCGCTGCGGGGCCGCCGTGCGTAACAGGGCTCAGCACCTTTAAACCGACGAGCAAAGGCCGTCACTGCCGAAGGAGCAGCGGGGAAGGCGGGGTGGGGAGGTGGGTAAGCAGACACTGACCCCGCGGGCAGCGCTCCGATGTTCTTTGATTATCGCAGCGTTAAGGGGGGCAGGCACGAATCCGACCCCAGCTCAGCGAGGGGACACGGCCCGGGTCCCTGTGTGGGTCCCAGCTCAGCTGGGGGGTGTTGGGTTTTTGAGGCTCCCCAGGGAGGCTGAGCCCCCCCTGGTGCTGAGAAGCAGCGGGGCTGGGGCTGGGGGCACATCCCCAGCCTGGCACCACGCAGCACAAGGGTCCCCGTGTCCCCATAGGGTGTCACCAGCGAGGCTCAGCCGTGTGGTATGAGGGTCCTCATGGGGCATCGCCCACATGGCTCAGCTACATGGAACGAGGCTGCCATGGGACGTCCGTATGGCTCACCCACATGGGATGAGGATCCCCGTGGGTCTCGGTCCGCACAGCTCAGCCTCATGGCACAGGGGTCCCCGTGTCCCCGTGGGGTTCACCAGCACAGCTCATCCAAACGGGATGCGGATCCCCGTGGGACACCGTGCACACAGCTCAGCCACATGGGATGAGGATCCCGTGGGTCACGGCCCAGCACCTCGTCCTGCAATCCAACGGTGCCTTTGCAAACCTGCCTGACTCCCTCTGCACCCACTGCCCTGCATCCAGATGGGGCGCAGCCCCTGCCTGATGACCCTGAGGATGTCGGTGAGGTTCATCCACCTCCAGCCACTGCCCCACGTCCTCCTGCCCCGCACACCAACCGCCTTCCCCTGCCCACACTGCGCTGACACAGCACAGCACTGCTGGTGGGGGCACAGCAAGAGGTCTGACAGGCCCCCAAAAGCCCCCCAGCACCGACAGTGTGCGGCTGCAGTGCCGTGACCCCATTCCAGGCTACGGAGGAGCCGTGCTGGGCTGAGCTCACAGCGTGGGCATGAGCCACAGGGAGGCACGAAGCCACACATGGGCACAGCCACCACACACGTCCCCCACCACATCCTCATCTGCAAATTGTCTCGTGGTCCCGACCTGAATGTCACCATGGATGGTGGACCCCCACCTCCCTGGGCAGCCTGTGCCGGTGTCTCACCATCCTCAGTGTAAGGAACTTTTCCCTTTTATCCCATTGAAATCTGTGCTCTCTTAGTTCAAAACCACTTCCCCTCGTTCTGTCACAACAGTCCTGGCTCCAGATGGCCTCAGCATTGCCTTCTTCCCAGAGCAGCACCAGCATGGCTCTCTGGAACGGCCATCCTGGACCCCATCCTGCCGGCCCCTCGCTCTATTTCCTCACCCCATGCACTTGGAGCAGCCCGAGCTCAGGGCTGGAGCTGCAGCCGTTCCAGGGGGTCCCTGGGCAGGAAGGAGGAGCAGCGGGCAGGGGGCTGCAGGTCTCCCTTCCGGGGGGGCTCTGGAGAAGCTCCCCCTGCCATCCCCTGGTCGGGACACAGGAGGAGGCAGCAGGGCCCGAGGTGCCCAAAGTGCACCTGCAGTGTGGGACGAGGGGGGAAGCAGCGCTGCCCAGACAGGAGCCGGCGGTGACGGCGGGGGCAAAGGGGCACGGGGAGGGAAGCGGGCACCGAAGGATTGCAGCGGGGGCAAAGGGGCACGGGAGAGGCAGCACGCGCTGCAAGCAACGAGGAACTGCTGGGCTTTGTGCCCGCGCTCGCGGGGGGGCCGAGCCGCTTCAGCGCCCGGCGTTCAGAGCCCGTGCCGAGGTCGGGAGCCGCGGACGGGGCCGAGCCCGGGGATGCCGCAGCCCCGGGGCCCAGCGCTGCCCTACCGGAGACCCCGCAGACGGACCCGGGCTTCCCTCAGCTCGGCCGCCCCCCGGTGCGCCCCGCACGGCGTGTGCGTGGCTCCGCGCAGCCCGAGCGCCGTCCCGCACCGCCCCCCCGCTCTCCTTTCCCTTCCCCCCTCCTGCAGCCGCTCCGACGCCGGATCCCGCACGCTCCGTCCCGCTCCCTTCTTGCCGAGAGCGGCGGCGCGGTCCTTACCGGTGCGCAGGGCCGGGCAGCGGCGGGCGGGCAGCGGCGGTCCCCCAGCACGGAGCCGGGCCCGCAGCCCCGCGAGCAGCCGGGATCCCGCAGCGCCCCCGTGGGGACCGGGGTCGAGCGCAGCGCGGCGAGCGATGCTCGGGCGGCGGGGGGAGTTCGGCCCACGGGGAGCTGCGAGCCCCGCACCCCACGTCCGCCCCCCGGAGGCTTTGCCCAGCTGCGGGAGTGCTGCGCTGCGGGGCCGCCGTGCGTAACAGGGCTCAGCACCTTTAAACCGACGAGCAAAGGCCGTCACTGCCGAAGGAGCAGCGGGGAAGGCGGGGTGGGGAGGTGGGTAAGCAGACACTGACCCCGCGGGCAGCGCTCCGATGTTCTTTGATTATCGCAGCGTTAAGGGGGGCAGGCACGAATCCGACCCCAGCTCAGCGAGGGGACACGGCCCGGGTCCCTGTGTGGGTCCCAGCTCAGCTGGGGGGTGTTGGGTTTTTGAGGCTCCCCAGGGAGGCTGAGCCCCCCCTGGTGCTGAGAAGCAGCGGGGCTGGGGCTGGGGGCACATCCCCAGCCTGGCACCACGCAGCACAAGGGTCCCCGTGTCCCCATAGGGTGTCACCAGCGAGGCTCAGCCATGTGGTATGAGGGTCCTCATGGGGCATCGCCCACATGGCTCAGCTACATGGGACGAGGGTGCCATGGGACGTCCGTATGGCTCACCCACATGGGATGAGGATCCCCGTGGGTCTCGGTCCACACAGCTCAGCCTCATGGCACAAGGGTCTCCGTGTCCCCATGGGGTTCACCAGCACAGCTCATCCAAACGGGATGCGGATCCCCGTGGGACACCGTGCACACAGCTCAGCCACATGGGATGAGGATCCCGTGGGTCACGGCCCAGCACCTCGTCCTGCAATCCAACGGTGCCTTTGCAAATCTGCCTGACTCCCTCTGCACCCACTGCCCTGCATCCAGATGGGGCGCAGCCCCTGCCTGATGACCCCGAGGATGTCGGTGAGGTTCATCCACCTCCAGCCACTGCCCCACGTCCTCCTGCCCCGCACACCAACCGCCTTCCCCTGCCCACACTGCGCTGACACAGCACAGCACTGCTGGTGGGGGCACAGCAAGAGGTCTGACAGGCCCCAAAAGCCCCCCAGCACCGACAGTGTGCGGCTGCAGTGCCGTGACCCCATTCCAGGCTACGGAGGAGCCGTGCTGGGCTGAGCTCACGGCGTGGGCATGAGCCACAGGGAGGCACGAAGCCACACATGGGCACAGCCACGACACACGTCCCCCACCACATCCTCATCTCCAAATTGTCTCACGGTCCCGACCTGAATGTCACCATGGATGGTGGACCCCCACCTCCCTGGGCAGCCTGTGCCGGTGTCTCACCATCCTCAGTGTAAGGAACTTTTCCCTTTTATCCCACTGAAATCTGTGCTCTCTTAGTTCAAAACCACTTCCCCTCGTTCTGTCACAACAGACCTGGCTCCAGATGGCCTCAGCATTGCCTTCTTCCCAGAGCAGCACCAGCATGGCTCTCTGGAACGGCCATCCTGGACCCCATCCTGCCGGCCCCTCGCTCTATTTCCTCACCCTGAGCACTTGGAGCAGCCCGAGCTCAGGGCTGGAGCTGCAGCCGTTCCAGGGGGTCCCTGGGCAGGAAGGAGGAGCAGCGGGCAGGGGGCTGCAGGTCTCCCTTCCGGGGGGGCTCTGGAGAAGCTCCCCCTGCCATCCCCTGGTCGGGACACAGGAGGAGGCAGCAGGGCCTGAGGTGCCCAAAGTGCACCTGCAGTGTGGGACGAGGGGGGAAGCAGCGCTGCCCAGACAGGAGCCGGCGGTGACGGCGGGGGCAAAGGGGCACGGGGAGGGAAGCGGGCACCGAAGGATTGCAGCGGGGGCAAAGGGGCACGGGAGAGGCAGCACGCGCTGCAAGCAACGAGGAACTGCCGGGCTTTGTGCCCGCGCTCGCGGGGGGGCCGAGCCGCTTCAGCGCCCGGCGTTCAGAGCCCGTGCCGAGGTCGGGAGCCGCGGACGGGGCCGAGCCCGGGGATGCCGCAGCTCCGGGGTCCCGCCGGGGCCCAGCGCTGCCCTACCGGAGACCCCGCAGACGGACCCGGGCTTCCCTCAGCTCGGCCGCCCCCCGGTGCGCCCCGCACGGCGTGTGCGTGGCTCCGCGCAGCCCGAGCGCCGTCCCGCACCGCCCCCCCGCTCTCCTTTCCCTTCCCCCCTCCAGCAGCCGCTCCGACGCCGGATCCCGAACCCCTCCGCTTCCCTTACCGGTGCGCAGGGCCGGGCAGTGGCGAGCGATGCTCGGCGGCGGGGGGAATTCAACGCACGGGGAGCTGCGAGCCCCCCACCCCACGTCCGTCCCCCGGAGGCTTTGCCCAGCTGCGGGAGTGCTGCGCTGCGGAGCCACCGTGCGTAACGGCTCCGCACCTTTAAACCGACGAGCAAAGGCCGTCACTGCCAGTGGAGCTGGGGTTGGGAGTCGGGGGGGGGGAGGGGGGGTTGGTAGGCACACACTGTGATCCCGCGGGCAGCGCTCCGATGCTCTTTAATTACTGCAGCGTTAAGGGGGGCAGGCGCGAATCTACACGTCGAGGGGACACGGCCGGGGGTCCCTGTTTGGGTCCCCGCTCAGCTGGGGGGCGTGGTGGTGTCGTGGTTCCCCAGGGAGGCTGAGGCCCCCCCTGAGCTGAGGAGCAGCGAGGAGCTGGGGGTGGGGAGGGGGGCACGGCCCCAGCCTGGCACCACGAGGGTCCCCGCGCCCCCACGGGGCATTGCCAGCCAGCGTGACTCAGCCGTGCACAGTGAGGATCACGGGGCACCGTCCACACGGCTTGAGGATCCCATGGGCAGTTCGTATGGCTCAGCCAAACGGGACGGGGATTCCTGCCGGGCTCCGTCCACACGGCTCATCCTCACGGCACAGGGATCCCCGCGTCCCCAAGGGCGTCACCAGCACGGCTCAGCCTCGCGGGATCGGGGCAGCGTCAGCCGCACGGCACGGCCGTCCCCGCATCGCCGCGAAGCACCACCGGCGCGTTTTGGGCACGGAGCTCCCTCCTCGCCACGGCGCCGCACCGGCAGCCGCTCAGGGCAGCTCGTAGCGGTAGGTGGTGACGGTGCAGTTGGCCAGGCGGCCGTAGGCGGTGGGCAGGACGTAGCGGCTCTGCCGGCGGAACCCCAGGCGTTCGCAGAGGGCTCTCGCCTCGTGCTGCAGCATGATGGTGTTGAGCACCACGGCCCTGCAGCCGCGCTGCTGCCGCGCGAAGCCCAACGCCGCTCGTCCCAGCGCCGTCGCGACGCCCCGGCCGCGGTGATCCTTGCGCACCGCCATCCGCTTCAGCGCCAGCAGCCCGGCCTCCCCCGCCGGCCGGACGCCCACCGTGCCGACCACGCGGCCGTCCGCCTCCGCCACCCAGAAGCGGGCGCCGGGTTCGTCCATGTAGGCGCCGCGGATGTCGCTCAGGTCGGCCGCCAGGCAGCGCTCGATGTAGGCGCGCCACGCGCGGCCCAACGCCTGGCGGCCCAGCGCCAGCAGCAGCGTCAGCGCCAGCACGGGCAGCAGCAGGGAGCGGGCGCTGGCCAGCAGCAGGCAGAAGACGCAGCCCAGCACCAGCAGCACCCAGGGCTGCCGCAGGACGTGCAGGCACAGCGCCGGCGCGTATTCGCTCATGGCGGTGGCGAAAACCTCCCGCGCAGCCTCGTAGTCCTCGTCGCGGTACGGCCGGATCCGGAACCCCGCCATGCTGCGCTGCCCTGCGGCGGGAGACGTCAGACCCCCCCCCACCGTCCCCCCATCCCGTGGTGTGCGGCAGGGCGGATGCTGAGTGACCGTGGGGCGAGGGCACGGCTGTACTGTGGGCTGGGAGGAGTGCCAGCACTGCCCAGCCCAAGGAGCCCCCGTGTCCCATGGAGACCCTCGTGCCCCACAAAGCCCCCATGACCCATACAGCCCCCGTGCCCCATAGAGCTCCTCATGCCCCCTACACACCCAGAAAGCCCCCACGACCTACGGAGCCTCTCACCTTATGGAACCCCCCACGCTACGGAGCCTCTCCACTCCCCCTCTGGAGTCCCCATGCCCTACTAAACCCCATGGAGCCCCCTGTGCCCCACGGAGCCCCACAACCCCGCAGAGCCCCCACCGTGCCCCTATGGAGCCCCCTGTGCCCCACTCACCCCAACCGCCCCCCACGCTCCACGCAGCCCCCGCGCCCTGAGGAGCCCCGACCCCTCAGTGCCCCCCACACCTCCCGGCGCCCACGGTCCGGCCCTGGGCACCCCGAGCCCTGCCCCCCCCCCCCCCCGCACTCCCACCCACGTGCGGACCCCACGCCCCCGCGTGCCCCCGATCCCCCCCCGCTCACCGCCTCGCCGCGCCCTCCGTCCTCCACCATCGCCAGCCCGGCGCTGCGGCGCCCGCTGCCCATTGGCCGCCGCTCTGCCGGCGGTCACGCCCCTCCTCCGCCAACAGCCAACGGGCGCCGAGCGGGGGAGCGAGGGAGGCGGGCACGCGGGTCACGTGAGCGGGGAATGAATGGGAGGACAGGGGGAGGGGCGGGGCCCGCGCGGTCAGAGCCGCCGTTGGCCATCAGGGAGAGGGCGGGGCCAATGGGAGGCGTGTCGCGCGGAGGGGCGGGGCCCGAGGGAGCGCGGGGCCGCGGGTTCGATGCCCGCTGCGGGCGGCTCAGGGCGCGCGGCGCTGGGCGCGCAGGCGGCGCAGGCGGTGGCGGTGCAGCCGCAGCTGGAGGTCCGGCGGGCCCCGGCCCCGCAAACGCCGCCGCGCCAGGCGGAAGCTGCAGGGCGTGGGAACGTTCTCGAAGGAGACGCGGCACGGCCGTGTAGCCGCCTCGTAGCCCTCGGCCCGCGCCGTCACCTCGTACTCGCCGGGGTTCAGCAGCCGCCAGTAATCCCCATCCACAGCTGTGGGGGGATGGCAGGTTCCCGCTGGTGACGTCCTACCTCCATCTCCATCCCATTTATCCCATCCCATTTACCCCATCCCCTCCGTCCCTACTCCTTTGATCCCATCTATCCCATTTATCCCATCCCATCCCCCATCCCTGTCCCTGCCCCCCTCCCCATCTCCGTCCTGCTGTACCTGTCCGCACATCGTGGTTGATGCCATCCACAGAGATGATGGCGTTGGCGATGCCCTCACCCGTCTCTTCATCCCGAACCACCCCCTTAATGCCACGGTGCACCTGGGAACCAGAGGGCCGGGGGTCGGGGGGGCACCTCACACTGCACAGCACCCGTGTGGGGCACCCTCAGCTGCACCAGGGCTGTTTGGACCCAAGGCAAGCCCTGGAGCATGGCCTGGCACCACGCACGGCCCCATGGCACACCGGCACACACCAACCCTCTGAGCACACACACCTCCAGCACACGCCTGCCACAGCCCCAAGCAGGGAGCAGGGAAGGTGCTGCAAAGCCCACAGGATACCGGTGGACCCCCGGCCATCCCCTGCAGCCCCCACCTGCTCCATGTAGAGCAGCAGCGACTCGCGGTTGTTCTCCCACTCGGTCGGCAGCTCGGAGACGTGGGGGAATTTGTCGCACGAGAGCTCCACCGTGATCTCAAAGCAGTTGGTGTGCAGGTAGCTGAAGTCATTCATACCTAAGGGAGGGTGGCGGTGCATCAGGGGGGGCGGGGGGCTGCGGGACCCCCCCCGGCCTCACACTCACTGCCGGGCACCGTGTGCCAGTTGGCCCCGTTGATGATGTTGCCGGAGCGCATGAAGTCGTCGTAGTGGCAGAGGCGGCGCTCCTCGCTGGCCATGGCCAGGTTGGAGGTGGCGTAGACGGTGGCCAACCAGCGGAACACGCCGTCGTCCGCCGTGGGGGTCAATTCCTGAGCCTTCCAGTAGGTGCGGGTCATGTCAAAGGGGTAGGTGACCACCAGCTCCCCGCCGTGCAGGTTGGCGCTCAGCACGAAGGGGTAGCGCTGCATCCAGTCGATCACCGCCCGCGTCTCTGGGGCCACCTGTAGTGACATCGCATCGTTGGGGCACAGCCGGGACCCCCAACCCAGCGCTGTGCCCCGGGGGTCACCTATGGTGACTCTGTGTCATTGAGTCACAGCTGAGACCTCCCACTTCAGCCCTGTGCCCCAGGAGCCACTTGCAGTAATGCTGCATCATTAGGGCACAGCTGGGACCCCCAATCCAACCCTGTCCTCCAGGGGCCACCTGTGCTAACGCTGCATCGTTGGGGCACAGCTGGGACCCCCAGCCCAGCCCTGTGCCCCGGGGGTCACCTATGGTGACACCATGTCACTGAGTCACAGCTGAGACCCCCCCCACCTCAGCCCTGTGCCCCCAGGGGTCACCTGTGTGATGCTACATCATTGGAGCACAGCTGGGACCCTCAACCCAGCCCTGTGCCCCGGGGGTCACCTATGGTGACTCTGTGTCATTGAGTCACAGCTGAGACGTCCCACTTCAGCCCTGTGCCCCCAGGGGTCACCTGTGTGACGCTGCATCATTGGGGCACAGCTGGGACCCCCAATCCAACCCTGTCCTCCAGGGGCCACCTGTGCTAACGCTGCATCATGGGGGCACAGCTGGGACCCCCAACCCAGCCCTGTGCCCTGGGGGTCACCTATGGTGACACCGTGTCATCAAGTCACAGCTGAGACCTCCCACTTCAGCCCTGTGCCCCCAGGGGTCACCTGTGTGACGCTGCATCATTGGGGCACAGCTGGGACCCCCAATCCAGCCCTGTGCCCCCGGGAGCTGCTTGTGGTGACACTGCATCATAGAGGCACTGCTGGACCCCCAGCCCAGCGCTGTGCCCCAGGCATCACCTATGGTGACAGTGTGTCATCGAGTCACAGCTGAGCCCCCCCACTTCAGCCCTGTGCCCCCAGGGGTCACCTGTGTGACGCCGCATCATTGGGGCACAGCTGGGACCCCCAATCCAACTCTGTGCTCCAGGGGCCACCTGTGCTAACGCTGCATCGTTGGGGCACAGCTGGGACCCCCAGCCCAGCCCTGTGCCCCGGGGGTCACCTATGGTGACTCTGTGTCATTGAGTCACAGCTGAGACCTCCCACTTCAGCCCTGTGCCCCCAGGGGTCACCTGTGTGACGCCGCATCATTGGGGCACAGCTGGGACCCCCAATCCAACCCTGTCCTCCAGGGGCCGCCTGTGCTAACGCTGCATCGTGGGGGCACAGCTGGGACCCCCAATCCAACCCTGTCCTCCAGGGGCCGCCTGTGCTAACGCTGCATCATGGGGGCACAGCTGGGACCCCCAACTCACCCCTGTGCCCCGGGGGACTCCAGTGGTGACACCGCATCGTGGGGACACCCCCAGGACCCTCACAGCATCCCCGCACCCCGCAGTGCCGTGCCCTCACCGTGGCGTTGGCGAAGGTGTAGTACTCAGGGATGGGGATGTAGTGGTTGGGGAACTGGTGGGGCACCAGGTCGTTGTCCTCAGCGTCCCACAGCGCCGTGTTGAGGTCGGCGAAGTTGTGGTTGAGGTCGATGCCCTCATAGGTCCAGCGGCCCATGGCCCAACCCGACAGCTCCGAGCCCTATGGGGCGCGCGGGGTCAGCCGGGGGGCAGCGGGATGAGCGCCTGGGGGTTGGGTTTGGGGCCCCTACCAGGCGGTAGGCGGTCTCGTAGCCGTCGGGGTTCATGGAGGGCAGGAGGTGGATGCGAGTGCCGGTGACCAGCTGCACCACGCGGGGATTGCCGCGCCGGAACTCGCGGCACAGGTACTCCATCAGGTTGAGCAGCAGCTCCCGGCCCAGCACCTCATTGCCGTGCATCCCAGCCACGTAGCGGAACTCGGGCTCGCCTGTGGGTACGGCCCCTATCGGCTCTGGGTCCCGACCCCCCCCCCCGCCGGCCCCACATCCCACCCCACAGACGTACCCACTTCGTGCCGCCCCGGGTTGTCGGAGATCTCCATGACGTACATCTTGAGGCCCAGGTAGCTCTTCCCGATGCTGTAGATGCGGGTGATGTTGGGGCACTCCTCGTTCACCCTCTTCATCAGCTGCAGGGAAGACGCTCGCGCTGGGGTCTGGGGGCAGCTCGGGGGGGGCAGCTGGGGGGGGGGGATACCAACTCACCTTCCTCATCTCCTTGTAGTTGTGGTGTCGGAAATCCAGCTTGTCGGTGGGCGCGGGTTCGTTGGGCCACTGGTAGATGTTGTTGGGGTCTGCGGGGCGAGGATACGGGCAGGGTGAGGGGTGCCTGGAGCAGCCCCCCGCCCCATGAGCTGGGCCCGCTCCCACCTGGCATGGCACAGCCCAGCACTTCGGCCCGCAGGCACACGGTGCCGTTCTCGAACCAGCTCTGGGGGTTGATGCGGATGTACCGTGCCACCGCCGGGCACGGCAGCGCGTTCAGCACCGGCGTCTCAGGGTCCTTGTTGGCTGGGAACACCTGGGGGGGGGGGATCCCAACCCCCGTGTGAGCGCGGCACCGGGATGTGCTGGGATGTGGGGATGGGGCCAGAGCCGCCAATGGGGACCAAAGGGTTACGGGCTCTGCGCTGCGTGGCCCCGTCCTCCCCTGGCCCCTTTCCAGCCCCTAATGAGGAGCGGACACGTGGCAGCGAGCTGAGCCCGGCACGGAGGGACCCGAGTGGGGCAGAACCGTGGGGCTGGGGTATCACACTGCTGCGTGCCCCCCTGCAGCACAGGGACCCCCAAGGGATGAGCACGGGGACCCCAAACCGCTCCTGGCAATGGGGCCTCACCCCGACTCCTGGCACAGCCGTGACCCAGGGGCCCCGGCCCCGCCGTCAGCCTCTGTTCCTCCCACCGTGGTTGTGGAAGGACCCACCTGCAGCCGCCCACCCGCACGGCTCCCACGCGCCTCCCTGGGCCCCACGCTGCCCTGTTCACCTCTGGGCGCAGCACATCGTGCCGCGAGGCCCCGCTCGGCTCCGCGTGTCCCCCCGCGCCCCCGGCCCCCCCCAGCGGGCAGCAGCACAAGCAGCCTTTGTGCGGAGGGGAAGTGCTGCAGGATGCTCTGCGGGACGGGAGGCCAAAGGCAACAGCAGAGCCCGGCGCAGCCGTTAACCCGCCGAGCCCCGCCGTGCGGGACGGGGTAAAGACGGGGCTCCTACCGCCTCCTCGGTGCCGTTGCGACACGGCTGCCACGTGTGCGTGTCGTTGCTGAACTGCACCTTGTAGGAGGTCACCCAGTCGTACCTGCAGGGGGGGCCATGGTGTCGCCAGCGCCCAGACCCCCGCCCCCCAAGCCCCCCGCCCCGTGCCTTACGTCCAGATGGAGTTGAGCCCCTGCGTGATGACCCCCGTGAAGTTGGTGAGGCGTCGCGCGTCCACCTCCAGCCACTGCCCTGCGTCCTCCTGCCCCGCACACCAACCGCCGTCAAAGAAATCCCCGTCGTAGAGCCCCGACTGCGGGTGGAGGGCGCAGGTAGAATAGGGGTCCGGACTGGGGCAGCTCCACAGCGACCGGTTGGGCCGGGAGACCCTCGTGGGGTCACGGT